CCCGTAGCGCAGGGTCTCGTAGACAGGGTCCACCTTCCCGCTGGCCCCTGCAAGGGTCCATTTTCAAGGCCTGGCACCCAGCAGCTGGCCTTGCCCTGCCCGGAGACCCATCTCTGCAGCCCGGGCTGCTGACTGGATCCCCAGCTCAGCATGCTCCAGGCTGCACTTGGCGGGGCTACCACCACTGCTGTCAGCCTGGTTCAAGTTATTAGACTCTTCCTTGGCAACTGCCACCATTGTGACCTCTCAGCAGGCCACCCTGTTGCTGCTGCAGGCCCTTGCCACCATACGGCAGCCAGAACGCTTTGTGAAAACACAACACTTCCCCTTAATAAAATCCAAAAAGCAGGGCAGGCAGGGAGCATGGTGGCTAAGGTGCTGGACTCCCACATGGCTGACCAGTGGTTAAAGTGCTGGACTCCTACATGGTTGACCATGGTTCAAGTCCCGGATCTGATGGCTTGCTTTCTCACTTTCCCTCTCTCTGTGTGTGTCTCTCTCTAGTAAAATTAAAATAACTGAATGAATAAATAAAAATAAATAACTTGAAAAGAAATAAACAATAAATAAAGTCCAAAAGGCAATCTGAAATGGACTGCAAGCCTTCACCTGCGCTCTCCAGATTCCCTCTCTCTGGCCCTGGGCCCCCGTACTCCATGCTGCTGCTGCTGCTGTTTTTTTTTTTTTTTTTTTTTTTTTAGGGTTTTTAAACAGCGTGCTCACACACAAAAACAGAAACAGAGGGAACGTGAGAACTCACCCCCCCAGAGGGGATGGCCACACCGCAATCCCTTCTCCATTCTCTTCTAGGCTTTTGGTTATGCACGTACACACACCGGGCGCGATTTTCAGGCCACCAAGTCCAGGACAGAACCATGGTCACCCATGTGGGAATCCAGCGCCTTACCCCCCAAGGCCACCTGCTGGCCCCATCTTCTTCTTTTTTTAAGTTCATTTATGGGGTTGTCAGAAAAGTCATGACATTTATTCTATGTTAAAACGTGTCGTGACTTTTTGACAACACAACACTTCTTCCTTCCATACGTGAGAGAAACTGGGATGTGGCACCCGCCAGGGCCCTGACGCTGTGCTCCCTTCAGCCCCCGGGGGCCTGGGCCATGGGCACATGGGGATGTAGAAGCGGGAAGGAATGACATGCCGCCTCCATGCCTGAGCTTTGGACGGGCTTGCTGTCTTCTCTGCCTCGTCCACTCAGGACTCTCTTTACTCTGGGAGGTCTCTGGGCAGAACTGGCCACCTTCCCGTGGGGACTGGCCTGATGGAGTGTTGGGTGTGACTGCTGCACCGCCGTCTGGCCCTCTGCCCACACCGTCTTCCTCAGATCCTCAGTGGGCCAGCTGCTCCCACTTCATGTCTCCCTGAAGCCTCCCTGACGTGCGGATGGGGCGGCGTGCATTTCACACTGTGTCCCCTGTCCTTCTCCTTTGAGGCACTCATCCCAATGGCCACTGGGGGATTGTGCAATGGTCCTTTTCCAGTCTCTCTCCTTCACCGACCGAAACTCCACCTTCTCCAGTGATGTGGCTCAGTACCTAGCTCAGTGCCTGGCACTTAGTAGGTGCTCAGTAAAGTATTCAATGGAAGACGAATAAATGATCAATGAATCCTACACTCAGGACAGAAGCACCCAGAAAAGGAGGGTGGTAGAAGCGCCAGAAATGGCAGTGTGGACTTCGCCCCACACCACAGTAGAAGCAAGAATACCAGGGACACTCACCAGTGGGTGGGGACTCTCTGCTTAAAGCACAGGCTGGTGGCGGCTCATGTACCAGGAGGGGGGAGCTGAAGTTGCGGCGGAAGGAGGTGGACTGTGGCAAGAGGGGTCAGAGAGAAGTGTGGGGGGGTTACAGCCCATGGAGACCTTGGCCCTCCCCAAACCCGAGGCTCACCTCACAGGAGGAACTGGCCTTGAGGGCCACTCCCCCACATGACATCCCTGGGACACCCCTGGCCAATCAACACCGCAGGTCCCCACTCACCGACTTGCCGGGGCATTGCTGGTGGGAGATCTCCTCAGAGCACCAGAGGTGGACGCTGACTTTGCACGTCTTGCACCGCAAGCCCTGCTTGGAGTTTCCTAGGAAGAGTTTGTGGTCACAGAGGAGTTTAGGCGAGAGAGGATGCCCCCATGGACAAGGAGCAAGATGGCAGATTAGGCATGGGGAGAACAGGCACTGGCATTCCGTCCCACCTCAGGGCCCAGCATGACCCCTCATGCATCAGGGCGTGACATGGCACCGAAGCCGGAGCCGTTGGTAAGCTCAGTGGCAACTCTGGATATCCCCACCCCCAGCGGGGCCCATCTGCCTGCCCAGGGCAAGAGGCACAGTTGGCATGAGAGCCCCGACTGGCAAGGGCCCAGTTTCAGGCAGTTCTGTGGCCCCTTCCCATGCCCACTGCAGGGCCCAGGCACCTACCCACGATGAGCTGATGGCACAGCTCGCATGGGCTGGCTCGCTTGAAGACATGTTCCTGGAAGCTGTGCAGCCTCACTGGCTTGAGTGGTGCCAGGGGCCGTGGGACTGGGCATGGGGAGGGGGCTGGGGTGGGCAGGCCCCCATCCGTGGATGCGGGTGGTGGGGAGGGAGGGGGCAGTGGGGTTGGAGGCGTCAGCAGCACCTCCGTGGGGCACTTGAGCTCTGAGCCTGAGCGAAGGAAGAAGTTCTCCACACTCTTACTTCGGAGGATGGTCTTGAGGGAGAGTGAGCGCTTGAATCGCTGGAGCTGGGAGGGAGAGGAAGCTGTGAGTGGGGATGGCTCATCATGGCAGGCTTCCCTTCAAGATGTGTCCTGTGGTGTGGCATGCCCGCAGCAGCATGGCAACTCAGGGAGGAACCCAAATGAAGTACTAAGAGAGAGGCTTCCAGGTTTCAGATGGCGGGTTGCAATCCCAGATGCCTCCAGAGCCAGGCAGGCAGCCTTGGAAGAAAGTTATTCTGCCTCAGTAGGCAGACGATTAGGAGTGGTGGGGACTGTGGCAAACTGGATGGCCAGGGAGTAGCTGTAGGTCCCTAACCAACTGAAGTCTAGGAGGCCAGCCTAGTGTTGCCAGATTTTCCAGTTATTCAAAAGAAATCTTGATCTAGGGGTCAGCAGGTAGTGTGGTGGTTTAAGGCAATGGACTCCCACATGACCAACCACATCCTGGATCTGGTGGCTTGCAAATCATGCCAGGTACATGTGTGTACATGGCCAAGATTCCAGGAGGAGAATGGAGGAGGCTGTGGCATGGCCATCCTCTCTGGGGTGTGATTTCTCACTTGCCCTCTCACTGTCTCTCTCCAGTGAGTGCACGAGCCCCATGGCAAAAACCTAAAAGAATAAAGAAAGCAAGCTAGACCTTTATATGCAATTGGCTAGAAACACATGCAGAGGTTTAATTTCCTTTTCTGTTTGCAGAAACGGTAGTATAGTCTTTTTCCGTTGCCTTGTTTTCTTCGCTTAACAGTAAATCTTGGAGATCATTCCATACCGATGAATAAAGAGTCCCATCATTCTTTTTTATGGTTTCACAGTATTTCACTGTGTGGGTATACCATTTACTCAACTTTAAAAAAATAATGACACTTTGGGGGCCAAGCAAAACACACCAGGTCCTCGGGTTTCCGCCTGTGTTCTCAGGTCGCCAGTGGGTGGGTGGGGAGTGGTCGTTCTGGGCCCTCATCCCCAGGGCTGACTCTACCTCTGCAACATCTCCCCAGCCCGTGCCTTTCTGTCATTGCCCCACAGACTGCCTTAGTTCAGTTCCTTGTACCCCCAGGCCCTGCCCATTCTCCCCACCCCCCCATCCTCCAGACACTGCCAGAAAAGTGCTCCTTGACCCTGCTAAACACCTTTCAGGAGCCAGCTCTGTGGTGCAACAGCGCTCAGGAGAAGCCAGATCCCACACGGTGACTGCGGTTCAAACTCCCAGTCCCAACAGCCTGAGATGCACTGAGCATGTGCACAAATGCCCAGGAGCCAACAGCCTGAAGGACCAAAGGAAGGACCATGCCAGGACCAGACCCTGCGGAGGGGATCCTTTCTCTCTTACTCTCACATGTGCATGCACACACTCTAGTGTAAATTAAGGGCGGGGGAGACCGTCCTTGGCCCCCCCATGGCAATCTAAGGCCCTCACTCTAGCAATGAGATGCCTTCAAACTTGGCCAGATCTGTCCATCCATCCAACGCCTTCCACCACCAGCCCAGATATAAGGATTCACAAACTCATTCATGCTTTTAAGCCTGAGCTTTTGACAAGCTTGCTGTCTTCTCTGCCTTATCCAGTTAAGACCCTCTTTATCCGCCAGTGCCCCTCTTCTCCTGGGAAGCTGTCTTTTTCTTTTTCTTTTCTTTTTTTCTTTTTCTTTTTTCTTTTTTTTTTTTTTTTGCCATAGGGCGCATGCCCTCACCAGAGAAGAAAAATACAGAGTGAGACAGAGAAAGCGAGAAATCACTATGCCCAAGGGGGATGGTCATGCCACAATCCCTTCTCCTCCATTCTCCTCTTGGAATTTTAAGCATGCACACATACATGCACCCAGCATTACTTTCAAGCCACCAGGTCCGGGGCCTGAATTGTAGTCAACCATGTGGGAGTCCAGTACCTTAACCACTATGCCACCTGCTGGCCTGGGAAGCAGCCTTTGCTGCAGAATTCTACTGAATGGGATGCTCCCTCCTCTGGTGCCACTGTGCCGGCATCCACCTCCATTATATTGGGTCTGGAAAGTCATGACTCATTTTTACATAGAAAAATATGTCACGGCTGGATGAGCAGTTGGCAAAATGGCAATGTTGCTGGACTCCCATGTAGTCCACCATGGTTCGAGTCCTGGAGCCAGTGGACTCACGCCAGGCATGTGTGCGTGCGTGTCCAAGATTCCAAGAGGAGAATGGAGGAGAAGGGATTGCAGAGTGGAGCGTGGCGTGTCCCCCTGGGGGGCGATTTCCTACTTTCTGTCTCTGTCTCTCTCTGTCTTTCTGGCGAGTGCATGCGCCCTATAGCAAAAACCTCTCAAAAAAAATGTCATGGGGGCTAGCAGGTGGCATGGTGGTTAAGGACGCTGGATTCCCACATGGTCAACCACAGTTCGAGTCCCGGACCTGGTG